ACAGACAGCACACCGGGCAAGGCCAATAGTTGTGAAAAGCAGGGGAATAAAGCAACAAAAAACTGGCCGTTGGTCAATCCCTGGTTAGCACCAATCACAGGCCTAGGTAAACTGACGGAAACAGGCTCAGCGCATCCAATCAGCTGGCTCTGCAAGGCGGGCCACGATAAACTAAACGGAGGTCTCGTCCAAAGTAAACGCAGGGCAAAGAGAAAAGAAATGTAGTCCAGTGTATGAATAAAGATAGAAATCAAACGGCATGCCTGGCCATGACAAAACTACCGGCAGACAACAGCCAGTTTTGTAGAACACTCCACATTTCAAAAGACATTTAAATGACCGCAACGGTTAGATGGCTAAAACGAATGTTTAGCATTTTTAAGCTCATTCTAAACGTTTAAGCGACATAGCCAGAATACACTCCTAAGATAATAAAATGTGAACAAACTGTGTTTTTATGAACGAAAGTACCATGTAAACGGAAGCATAAACACTCAACCATGAGCATTTGGTTTTAGAAGAAGAAATGTCAATGATGTAAAAAATATTACTACCTGAACAAAGCAGGATAATATGGACGTTTGCTTTGTGTCCCCTTCTCTTTTCAACCACGATGGGACAGTGGTGATACACTAAACAAACGTCCGTCAAACGCCAACCTCCTGGGTAGGATTAGGTTCCTATGTAAACGCAGCACCTGCTAAAACACTTGTCTATCCTTGTTTTGAGGTTAAAAAGGGGGTTACACGGATGTGTAACAACAATGAACTAGAAGTTATTATATAAAAATACGGTTTTGTACTTTCTTTTTGTCGACCTTTGCGAAATTACTTTTTGTAATTGCCATTTCTGTTTTATCTCTTTAATATTCGTTATAGTATGCTCTTGAATCAATATGTTGCTATGTTTGAGGCTCTTACTTTTTGCTATCTGTTAAATGGAAATCCGCCCCTCCGGAACGGCAATAAAGTTGTTTATGGATGTGATTCGATAAAACACCGTTGTCTTTAGCTCTATTCTCTGCTCGTTTGTGCAAGGGTTTTTGTCTCCACGACAGAGTTTGCGACAGTGCCCGTACAGAGGCTGAAGTCTCTCCAGATACCGGCTTGAAGGGAAACGCAGCAACAAGAGAAACACCGAAAAGCATTTCATCATCGTTTTTTTCCACTTTGGAGTCTAAACCGAGACACCGTGGCATCCCCTCCGCGTAGGAACAATTTCACCGGAAAAAACCATCTGAAGCTGGGCTGGGAACGAGAAGATCTACTGAACGAGCTCGCTGTTGTAGCCTAGTTGCGCCTCCCAGCCGAAAAGCGCACCGCTGTCAAAAAAGGGAAAGGAGAATACACATTTTTGGCACAAACGTGGGGAAATGGACTGGATGATTCTAAAAGTGAAGCTGACCGGAAAGAGAGCGCGTCGAAGGCGACCTGGTTTGATAACGAGGCTGGCAAAGTGGGAAGAGGCCCCTTACGGTCATGTTTCAAGGCGAAGAGAAAGAATGGGTAGTGGAAGAGCAGGCCTCTAACCCCCTCCCCCCCCCCCCCCCTCCTTTCTCCTAAATAACATTCATGTCTGCTATATTCCTCGTTAAGCAATATATAAAGATGAAATATGGGGCGATATTTATGGAGAGGGCAATACCCTTTACTTGTACAGTTGTGGTCTGTGCATCAGAATCCGTGCCACAAGATTTCCATTCCTATTCAGTTCTTTCTGCCCTGTTTTTGAGTTGTTGTTGTTTTTTCAACAGTTGAAATTACTACGTATTGTTCCATCGTATGTAATTTATAAATAGGAAAACACAAACATATGCTTCACCTATGGTCCGAGCTTTTCCTGTTTCAGTGAATTCAAGAACTCAATTAAGATTAAAAGGCCCTTATTCGTGCATACACAGCAAGAAGCTCCAGCGAGCGTGCCTCACAACATGCAACAATAAATAGTGCAAGAAAATAACACGAATGATAAATTAGAATGGCTCTTGTTGCAAAGTCAAAATATCTTGTACACTTAAACTCACAATTCCTATCACGGCAGTTTTAAGAAGCAAGACCTTAAACTGCGGTTCTCATGTAGGCCTGCGCTAAATCTCTCGAATAAACGTAGAAGAGATTTGTCTGTCAAACCGCTTGCGTGCATCTTCACCTTGAGCGTGGTCATCAGAACTGAGTTTAAAGAGTCAATTCTCTCGCCAGCGGAGCTGCGGGTTTAGGAAACACAATGCTTACAAACATGTAGCCTCATCTGGTCCCTGTAAGGTCATAAACTATAATTGGACCATGAAATATGGAAAATCTCACAAAATGTAGCGCAGAAACAACTCAAGGAACTCTCCTCCATCCATCTTCTCCCCGCTAATCCGGGGTCGGGTCGCGGAGGGTATCAAGTGTCCAGCAGAGAGCCCCCAAAATTTTCTTTCACCTGCCAAACATCCAACCAGCTCTGAACTGGGGATCCCAAGGCGCCTTCCCAGGCCAGAGAAGAGAGTATAATCCCCATCTGGTTTCGTAGGTCTACCCCTTGGTCTCTTACCAGCTGGACGTGCCTGGAACACCTCCCTAGGGAGGCCCCAGGGTGGTATTAACCTAGGTCCTGAACCACTCCAACTGGCTCCCTGGAACCTCTCCATCCGCGCATAATTCCATCAAATGCATTTAATTATCTTATATTTTATGCAATAATAAAGGAAAAATACAGGGGGCGCTAATGCAATTTAAGCCTATTGTCCGTTGGAATGCTTAAATGCAAAAGCGTTGTTGTGTATAGCAATAATGCTCATAATTGTGATTGTGGCTTTCCCTTTTCTGTGATTTCAAGATTTCAAAGTTCAAGATTCAAAACGCTTATTTTGCAACCTGCAACAGGTAAGCCTTCAGGTTATGGCAATGCAAATCTGAAATCCTTAAGACCCAGCCTCCTCCAACAATGCGAACATAAAGTATCGATCAGTAAGAAATAAAGCAAATAAGTGATGGTTATGAAAGCATCTCTTTTGACCTGTTCCTTCCACAACATCATAGGCAATATTTGGAGAATAGTAATCAGAAGCATTGTGCGGTTCGATTGGTGAAATGTTAGGAGCAGGCCGGTGCATGTAGAGGCACTTTTTAACATTGTCCAGTGGGCCCTTTTGGTGCCCATAACCTGCTCGTCTATATTCATTCCTTTGTTTTTTGCGAAAAAGTCCCTGGCTGCACTACAAACTTTCTAAAACTCAGTGGTTCAATGATCAGCGAAACCTTAAACCTTAAAGAAAAACAAGCCGTAATATAAGCAACCGTCCTTTAACTGTGTCCTGGATTCAAGGCTGGACTTAGGCCCATTTTCCATAGCATCGACACACAGAAGACCCCAAAAGTGTTTAAAGAAATGGTGAAGTGTTGGCTTTAGAGGGCTGCTGCTTATGAGACTCTTGTGAAGCCTGCAGCACTTTGGATGGAGCCCAGAAAGGAAGCACAAAAGCATAAAGAGAAGGTTTAGGCCAGGAGAGGGAGGGGTTTATAACGAGTGTCCCATTCTTGACCGTAACAATCAACCATCAGCCACCTCTGTTGTTTTCCCCGACTCAGACTGCAAGGAATCTGGGTGTGACCCCCAGGAAGACAAACCTGTCCCTTGCACTTGCAAAATAGCTGCTACAACCCGCACGCAGATAACACTCTGTTAACAACATTCAGCCCGCACATACGTCCCCAGGATGACCCAGAAAAGCAGCGGCAGGTTCTGGTCCCAGGCTTCTCCGTCATCTCACGCCGAGACTACTGGCGCAACTCCCTCGCTGGCTGGTCTACTGACATGTGCCATCCGAGCCCTGCAGCTCATCCAAAGCCATCCCACGAATGCAGCGGCTCGTCTGGTCTTCAACCTTCCCCTAAATTCCTCCCACACCACACCGCTCCCCCGCTCCCCTTCACTGGGCTTCCAGTAACTGGCTTAGAACCCCTCAAGACCACTGGTACTCATGCGTACCATGCTGCGAATGGATCTGAGCCCTTCCTACATCCAGGACATGCGTTGAAACCAGTACACCCCAGCGTGCACGCCGCTCTTTGCATCGAACCAACAGCTCGGCTGCACCACGCACTGCGAGGGGGACACCAAGTTCCCATCAGAAAAGAAAACACGTGGTTTGATATCCTGCGCTCCAAAATTTGGTGGGAACTGAGCTCCACTGAAATCAGGACCAGCAGAAAGCTCGACTTCTTCCGGCGCGCAGAACTGAAAACACCTTCGAAGCGATAGAACTACTAACAAGCCACTTGTAGAATACTAATAAGGACGGCTTAATTAAAGCCCAGTTGACTAGCACTTGAATGTTTTCCTAGCTCTATGAAACGCTGATGTAGCCGTATATGATTCTGCTTTTCTTCAAGTTGTAATCTTGTTGGTCGAACGCACTTATTGGTAAAAGTCTCTTTGGATAAAAGCGCAGCTAAGAATGTAATGGAAATAACCGATTCACTCAAAATCCGAGCCATCCCAGTGCTCGGTTTTTGGTCCCTCGCTGGCTGCCAATTACAGCGCCTGTTTCCTCTCCCACCTTGTTTTGTTTTGAGCGTCAGATGTGAGCTAGATTACACGGTAGGGCTGCTCAATTAATTGTTTTTTTAATCGCAATTCAATTATGGCTTTGCAACGATTACGAACACCCAACGTATCGAAAATAAAACGATAATGTTTTTTTTAATACTTTGTTCTTTTTTGTATTGGTTTTTCAGTTGAATTCTACTTAACAGTTCAGGGTAATCAACTATAAAAAACATACTGTTTCAAACAAAGGGTTTTTTCTCAATAAATTGATGTTTTTTCAAAGTAAATGGATAATTCGTTTTTTAATAATCGTGATATCATTTATGGACAACCAAAATAATCGAGATTGTCATTTTGTCATCAATCGACCAGCCCCTAGAATTACAACGAATCTGGATGAATGGCTGCTCGGTCCTCTTCTCCCCCTTCATGTTTTCGTGCAGTCGGCTCCTCAAGGGCCACATTCTGGTCTGGTGTTGATGTTGCTCCTTCCTCTCTTTATCCTGTGTTGCAGGAAGGATGATCAAGGACTAGACGCCCTCAGCAGATGAAGGCAACCGGCATCTCCAGCATGGTCAGCCCTGCAGAGAGATCGTCAGCTAAAGACTTTTGTCCCTTTGAGCTTGGTCTCTGTCAGCGAGTGGCTATGGTGGTGGCGGGTGGGTATGGTATGGGCAAGCGTATGTTATGGACAACGAAGACAGGCCACTCGATTCACAACATAACCATAACCCTAATCCTAACCCTCACACCAGATACTGACTGGTTTTCGCACCCCCCCAGACCCCCCCAATAAAGCAAAACTGCACGTTTCAGAGTGGCCTTTTATTGTGGCCAGCCTAAGGCACACCTGTGCAATAATCATGCTGTCTAATCAGCATCTTGATATGCCACACCTGTGAGGTGGGATGGATTATCTCGGCAAAGGAGAAGTGCTCACTATCACAGATTTTTTCAGATTTGTGAACAATATTTGAGAGAAATGGTTATTTTGTGTATGTAGAAAATGTTTTAGATCTTTGAGTTCATCTCATGAAAAATGGGAGCAAAAACAAAAGTGTTGCATTTATATTTTTGTTCAGTGTAATAACCTCCACAAAGTAGCTTGAGGTAAACAACAAATGTGAAACAAGACCATAGAAGAAGAATATTGACATTCTTGGGAAGAGACAATATTTTATCGTCTTGCATTCAGTTGTACAGGTTGTGTCCACTCACAGTACATTCCCCACCTTTAGCCACTGGAAGCATTATCAAGCACAAATAGGCTTTTTGTAAATCATGTTTTCTACCATGAGTGTGTGTGCATGTCCTCTAAGTGCATCTGTGTGTTGCAGCTGCTGCGGGAGCTGAAGCATCCCAACGTCATCTCACTGCAGAAGGTGTTCCTGTCACACGCAGACCGAAAAGTCTGGCTGCTCTTTGACTACGCCGAACATGACCTCTGGGTAAGACACACACACACACACACACACACACACACACACACACACACACACCAGCTGCATGACTTAATAAACATACAAGGGATGCATGATATTACATATATTTTTCCACCCATGTTTGCCGTATTGCAGACAATTCATGCACATATTTTCCCACCTAATTACAGAAAAATCTCTCCTGAAAGTTGAATAAACATGAACGATACTCTCCCTCGGAAATGTAATGAAAGCAAAGCCAATAATATAAATAAAACCTCCACCACAACATTTACTTTTATGAATTTGCATTGCTTTTTCAACTGTTCTTTTCATGTGCGCATATACACCTCCTCTTATTCGATTAAATATTCAGTTCTGCCGATGTATAATTTCAAAGCCTATACAAATGGCATGTTGATATCAATGTGCGTCCCAAAAGTATCCTGCATTATCCTGCCTATTGTTCATTGAATATGCCACGATGAGCGGGAATGCATAGTTTGGATATAATTACGTTTTAATAATGTCTTTAATAGTTTAGTCCAGGGGTCGGCAACCCCTGGCACGCGTGCCACCGTAACCAGTGGCACACTAGGAATAAGTGTGCAAAATATTTACATTTTTATTTTCGGATCCTGAACGAGACCGCCGCCAGAGCGCGTCTCCCCGTTACCTGCAGGAGGAAGCCATGCACGCAACGCAGCGCCGCTCTCTTTAACTCCAGTCGACTTGCTGCCGCTTGAAGTGCTGTCGGAGCGCCGGCACTTCAGAAATTGCAGTACCCATAAGGAGCTGTACAAATGCTGCAGTTTTTGCGTGGCTGTGTCTTTAGTTGAAAGCCCAGTGGCGATCTGCTCATCTCTCATTGAAAATAACATGCTACACAGGGGCGGACTGGCCATCTGTGTGTTCTGGGGAATCACAGAACGGACGGTCGTCATTATCATTATGCCGTTCAAAACCAATTATTTAAAAAATGCATCTGACAGGTGAAAGAGGTCCACACACTGCTTCCCCGCAGCGAGGCTCCCCCCGCCCTCCTGTTGACAGTTCACGAGCTCCCCCCNTGGGCAAGCGTATGTTATGGACAACGAAGACAGGCCACTCGAATCACAACCTAACCCTAACCCTAATCCTAACCCTCACACCAGATACTGACTGGTTTTCGGACCCCCCCAGACCCCCCTAATAAAGCAAAACTGCACGTTTCAGAGTGGCCTTTTATTGTGGCCAGCCTAAGGCACACCTGTGCAATAATCATGCTGTCTAATCAGCATCTTGATATGCCACACCTGTGAGGTGGGATGGATTATCGCGGCAAAGGAGAAGTGCTCACTATCACAGATTTTTTCAGATTTGTGAACA